ACCCGTATACCGTCCGAAGTCGACAACTGCATGTTCCTTATTTTGTAGTCCTCATCATCCTCTTTCGACAAGGTGCTCCAGACCGGTGTCCATCCGCCATCTCAGTACTCGCGGCCAGTTTCATATCTGGGATTTTTGAAGAGTACCTGGACTGGGGCGACATTGCATTTGTGTCACCGCCGTCCATCTTTTATTTGCTTGTGGCCTCGCTGGTTCAAGTGTCGTCTCACCGATTTGCACCTCTATCATTTGCAGCGGAAAAGGAAACAAGGATTACAGACCAAGCTATTGAGCACCTGAAGAAGCGATTCCACACGGCCTTTGGCGCTGAACGAGTCATCCAGTCGACCCGACGGCTAGCAAATCCGGAGAACGTATCCAACCAAGCTATTCAACTCCGCGCTGAACCTGGTCAGGAAGATTTTTTCTCGGTGTTTGGGCCAGATCTATGCTCTCACTGGAATATTGTATTGAATCCTACGCCGCTCACTCGAAACGCCGGTTCGCCAGCCGTGAGCATGCCTCCAGTGTCTTCGACGCCCGCCGATATCAGGGGCCAGAACAATCTGGTCGGTCAGGACCCCACGTGGGCAAATCCATTCCAGGACTCTACCCTGCCAATGCACGATTTCCTGTCGCTACCCGATCAAACAGATTGGACTTTACATGTACCTTACGCCAGTTCCAGTCAACTGGACCAATCGAGTCAATGGTGGTGGACCGATCTTGTGCCATGAGAGAACAATGTCAGTCCATCGCTTCTTGCGGCAGGTCCACACCAACAGCCAGCCCGCTATGATTTGGAACTGGTAAAAAGATTATGCAAATTGCGCCAGAAACATGGAGTGCTAAAAATCGCCGCTTTGGAAGAGTCGACTGCGGCCAATGCGCAGAAATCCGTGTTTTCCGCGGCGATATGTGGATCTTTCGGCGATTCGATCTCGACTTGCCTCGTGCGCCCAGCATCTACGACTTGGCGCGTATTGGAACAGCATATTGCTTTCCCCAGATTAGCGGTCCCATACGGGGCAAGCATAAAGCCCAGGTTCTCCCCGTGGAGGGCACATTTTTCTCCTTGAATTGTCTCGCTAAAGGCAACCCACGACAGGGTTCTCGCAATACCCTTACTTTCGCAGTTACACGCAGCATTAAAAATCATTGCGCGTCACTGGTCGTCTCGAAATTCTAATGGCTGAGCCAAAGATCGAGCAGAGTCACGTCGAAGCTCGCACAATGAACAGGCAGAGCGACGTCACCAGCGACGTCGAGATTCAAGCTGTCCGAAAACAAAGTATCGGCGCCGGACTTGACCCCATCGACGAGGTAGGCAAATCCCCTATTAATCACTCACAGTCGTTACCATGCTGATCACTATTTGCAGACCGCCGCTGTCGGGTACAAGGAGTATCGTGAAGCTCTTGACGTCGAGGTCTCACAGCGAGATGTACGTATCACCCCTCGACATTCACGGCATCCGTGCTCATGTCATGATAGGATCGTCGAATCCGTTGGAAGATCGACCTCATCATCCTTCCTATCTTCTTAATCACTCAAATGCTGCAATTCATGGACAAGACTGCGCTCAACTACGCCAATTTGTTTGGTTACCAGAAGGCGCTTGGCCTGAAGGGTCTCGATTTCAATTATCTGTCCGGCATGGTGTATGCTGGCTACTTCTTCGGTCAATACCCTTGTGGTTGGCTCATCGGTCGTTACCCTGCACAGCGCGTGCTGGCTATCTCCTGCTTCATATGGGGTGTGCTGGTTATACTTCTCACGCAATGCCGCAACTTCAGCTCGGCTTTGGCCGTTCGCTTCATTATGGGCATCTTCGAAGCTGCAGTCACTCCCGGGTTGACTCTGATGACTGGTTTCTGGTACAAGCGACGAGAAATTCCACTTCGACAGTGCATCTGGTACAGTGCGCTCGGATTCGGCGGCATAGCTGGGTCATACATCTCTTTCGGCGTGTCCAAGCTCCCCACGAACTTCAAGCCCGAACGATGGGAGTTAATCTTCTACATTCTCGGAGGTGCAACCTGTGTCTGGTCCTTTGTCATATTCTTCGTCCTTGCCGACACTCCCAACAATGCTCGGTGGCTCAACGAACATGACCGCATCATCGCCGTCAAGCGAGTCTCCGCCAACCAAGTCGGTATTAAGAACAAAATATTCAACAAGAAACAAGCCTTGCTCGCCTTGTATGACCCAAAGACGATACTCATATTCGTCTCTGTCTTTGCTGCAGCCATCCCCAATGGTGTGGTCAACTCGTTCTCGACCATCATTATTCAGGACCTTGGCTTTTCGACCACAAAGACCACCGAATTGAAGTCAGTCGGAGACGCTGTGCAGGTCGTCGCATTGTTCATTGGTGGTGCGATTACACTCAAAGTGCCGAACTCACGACTCTTGACCGCCACGGCTGCCAATCTTCTATGCACGGTCGCCGCTGGACTTATGGCTTTCCTTCCACGCCACCTTACTTGGGGTCGACTGGTTTGTTTCTGGCTCGTCAACTCACAGTCTGTTGGCTTCACCATCTCCCTTGTCACCGTCAACAGCAACATGGCCGGGTACACTCACAGAAGTATGGCCAGTGCTTTGGTCTTTACAGCTTATTGCTGGGGTAACTTCGCTGGACCTTTCGTGGTGAAGCCCAGCCAAGCGCCCAACTACATCGGCGCTACTATTGGTCTGCTGGTTGGCTATGCCATCAAGTTGGTGTGCCACTTGGCGTTACTTGGTAGGTCCCTTGTCGCCTTCTCCATTTATATCCTTAACTAATGATCTTTACAGCCTACATGTACTTCAGCAACAAGCGGCGCAACAGGCTGTACGGCGTTCCCGACACCGCGGCAAGTAACGAGGCAGGTATGCAGGACAAGACGGAATATGAAAACAAGGACTTTAGATACGTCTTGTAGGCCCGAGGTACTCACATCACACCATGGCCTAGGGGTTGTCAAGTCGATGGATAGGTTCCCAACGCAGTACAGACTGGTCGCATCAACATAAGACATACTATATATTGAATCCATAAATTTTGACCTCTGAGACAAGCTAAACGGATCACGCGTCCGAGGATCTGGCAAGTGCCACCCTATAACAGACCAGGTCAATACTGAAGGCCACTGTGGTGAATAAATGGCATTGTGGCTCCTGTCGACCTCCCATCACGATTCCTCCCGCCTTCCTGGTACCAGCCACGAATTCTGGCAAGCCACTGTAGCCAAGCCAAACATTCCACATTTTCACGGAAAGAATGACCGCGTGATGCTTCTTTGCGCAACGACCCACACAACTAGTAGCTGGGCATTTGCGGCGCGGCGATATCTACACTCCGAAAGCGCCTGAAAAACGCCGTCGACCCAGAAGAACCTCCCTAGGCAGGGGTCTTCAGCCTCACAATGCAACCGCGGCAGATCGAGCGGGGATCGTGCATGTTGGATTGACACAAGGCGATTCCTTCCACATGATATGTCGGAGCAGCCAACTTGGATCAAAAGTCCATCAGTCAACACCCATCAAAAAACAACAAATTCAAGATCCATCGTCGAGAACAACTGAGAGCCATTGACCTTTTGAAGTATCAACTCCAACGCACCACTAGCAACAGACAAAATGGGTTCAATATCACCACCCCGAGCATTCAACTTTGACGGCGAAGTCGCCATTGTCACTGGTGCCGGATCTCGTCTTCCTGGTTAGTCCTTTCGTCCCCGTCTCCCCAGTATCAAAGATCGAGTCAGCCTCACGGCATGAGACCGCAATGTTCCTGTCATTACTCGAGCAATACTTACTATCCTGCTATTATATCCCCTTCAATGACCATTTGCTGTCGTGTCCTACTGTCAAGCCTTTCACATTCTCTCCCACTTTATCGTGAGATATCTTACCCTTCTGTTTTGCAGGAGAAATCGGCAATGGCCGCGCCACCGCCATCCTTCTCGCCCGACAAGGCGCCAAAGTCGCCCTCCTGGACCTCAACACCGAATGGGCCCGAGAGACCAAATCAATGATCGACTCCGAAGGCGGAACCAGCGAAGTCATCCAAGTCGACGTCACGGATGAACAGTCTGTACAATCCGCCGTCGCCAAAACGATCGACATCTTCGGCACGGTTAACATCCTCGTCAACATCGTCGGTGTAGGCGGTGCAATGGGCGACGCCACAGCTTTAGATCTCACAGCCTGGGACCGTGACATGCGCATCAACGTCACGAGTATGGTGCTGATGGCTAGACACGTCATTCCCGAGATGCGCAAGAATGGGAGGGGGGCTATCGTCAATATGTCGAGTGTGAGTGGTCTACTCGGTGGGAATCCGAGTTTGTTGTACCCGACGACCAAGGGGGCGATCATCCAGATGACGAGGGCGATGGCGGCACAGCATGGACCCGAGAATATTCGGGTCAATTGCGTTTGTCCGGGGATGGTCTTCACGCCGATGGTCAGAGGGCGGGGGATGACGGAGGAGATGAGGGAGGCGAGGATCAAACAAAATCTGCTGAAACAAGAGGGGACGGGGTGGGATGTTGGTTATGGTGAGCAATGACCCTCAAACACTTTTGTGGCAGACACTAATCTTTGATAGCGATTTTGTTTCTGTGCAGTAAAGAGGCGAGATGGATTACGGGACTTATCATGCCAGTCGACGCGGGGACCACAGCTGGAAAGGCAGATAGACCTGCCCTCAAAGCGGATTCGCTGGCTGAGCAGATGACGGGGATTCCGAATAAAGGTACTACTGCTGGGGAGACGAATGGGAATGGGGCATGAGATATTTATAAAGGGGTCCAGGGAAGGAATGTAATGGATTTGCTTCGCCAGCGAACATTGTTGCGCCGCTAGGGTCATGTATGCAACACGCGTTTGCGAAAGCACTGCCTGTCATTGTTCGTGTTTGTCACCACAGTAAGTTATTATGAAGATTGAAATTGAGCAGTTTGGGTATATATATTGATCGCGCTCAAATCCACCCAAGAATCAACAATCTAGGATTGTTAGCTCAAGGGTTATAGCGACAGGGGAGAATGGATCGGTATGATCGATCCAGGTTGGATATGTATCATACAATCCCCGACCTGCAGGCTGTAGGTTCGAGTCCTACACAATCCATCACTTTTTTTCTTTTTGTCTTCAAGAATTCCGTTTTGAAGTGCGCAACACGTCATAGCAAGGCAGACATAGTTGATTCTCTAACCACGTAGGTGCCACGAACCGGGGATCGCGCCACATAAGCAACGCTAACACTTTGCGACAGTGTCCCACGTCAAGGTCAGAATGGTTTAGGCCCATTTCTCTCGCCAACATCCAAAGCCACAAGGAATCTGCTGACACAATTGTACGCCGCGACAGTGCCCGTAATTTCAACAACCTCCTGCTCATTGAAAACCCGGTGCAATTTGCCAAACAATTCATCCGAGACTCTAACGTCAGAAGTCATAGCGTCCGCATAGTGCGCCACGACGAGTTGCTGTTCAGACAGACTTGTGTGGGGTGCAGTTTCAGGCAAGTCATCTCGAGCCAATATCTCCATACCATCGTCACTGACGCCGCCAGCTTTAGCCAGCGGTGCGTGGTGGTGCCATTCGTACCACGCGCCGTTTCGGATAGCAACGCGACAGATGGCGATCTCGCGAATGTCGTCTGGCAGCGTCAATTTGGTTCGCACCGCGCCGATGAAATTGTTCCAGCCGTCCGCGAAAGCCGGGGAATGTAAGAGTGTCAGGTCGAGAGGTTGTAAGTGTCGTGGATGTCGTCTTTGACGAACTCGTTCGACGACGGCGGCGGCATCGGCGTTGGAAAACTTGTTCGGGTCGGCTGGGTTGACGTATGGTAGACGCATGTTTGACGGTGACGAGGGATGTCACGGTTGAGATCCAAGCAGTCGTATGTAGGTGGGATGATCGTGTCGTCAGAGTTGAACCAGAGTGTTGAGAGCTGTCGAGGTCCGCTGCCATGGAGCCGCTTTAGCAGACGCACCCCGTGCTGGCAAGATTCACCTTAGCCTGGGTCAAGCATACTCGTTGATAGAGTTCTGCTGGCTCATGTGACGTTATAGTGGATTGGTCCCTGAAGGGCTTCCATGTGTGGCGTCCAGAGCGGTCGGCAGCGTGGTTTCAATATCGCCGCATGGTGAACAGAAATCGCCGCTGCGGACCAAACCTTAAAAAGGCACAGACCTTTACACCGCTGCTATGCCCAGACGGCCCAGGATAGAGTGCTTGTAGCCGAGGCCGAGCCCCCCGCTTTTGGTGATGGAAATGCTTGTTGCTCCAAGACTTCAAGCCGCTTTGCTTGCCTTTCGACGTGACGCGGGGAGTGTAACGCAATATCTGACATCCAACTCTGGACTGAAAAGGACGTTGACGACGTCTTTAATCAAGGATCGCAATCTGTGCGCCTTACCTCCGATTCCGTTGCGAAAGACAGTATTATGGCCGATAAAGACGGCTACATCGCTAAGCCGTCTGCAGATTGCTGCTTGAAAGGTTCCATCCACCAAGGTGAGCCGAGAGGCCGATTTGAGACTATCCACGGTGTCGAGACATACATTTCGAGTCCTCAGGGCAAGAATAACGGCAACATCCTTCTTTACTTCCCAGATGTATGGGGGTTCTTCCCGAATGGCTTCCTCATCATGGACGGATTCGCCGATGCAGGTTATCTCGTCTTAGGGCTGGATTATTTCCGAGGCGTGAGTTCTTCACGGGATCATGGTCATCGAATTCAGTGCTGAATGGACTGACCTTACAGGATCCTGTCTGGAAACACCGCAAGAATCGTAACGATCGATCAGATCCAAATTTCGACTACGAAGCCTGGAAGAAGAAGCATATTGCTTTCGCCGACGAGACCGTGCCAGGCTGGGTAGAGGCTGTCAAGTCTCAATTTGGCAAGCCTCAAACCAAGTATGCTTGCGTTGGGTGAGTTTCGGATGGTCCAGTTCCAATTTGCATCTTTCTGACGGCGTGTGCCAGGTACTGCTTTGGGGCACCGTATGTCTGCAACGAACTGGCTGGCGAAACGTGTGCAGCTGGCGCATTCGCGCATCCAGCATTTCTCAAAGAACATCACTTCCGGCAACTGAAAAGTAAGGTCTATGATTCGTCCCATCGTCTCCGCTGACATGTGTTCATAGAGCCGCTATTCCTGTCATGCTCGGAGATTGACCATACATTCGGCGAGGAAGCTCGAAGAGAAGCCCTTACCATCTTGCAAGAAGACAAGAAGACATACAACTTTCAACTCTTTTCCGGTGTCGAACACGGTTTTGCCCTGCGTGGGAACATGGACAATCCTTATGAGCGTATGTTTCCCTGATGCGCCAGTTCAGACCGCGTGAGAAGTATACAGTTTCGCTGACCGAATCCCAGGCTACGTCAAAGAAGAAAGTCTGAGAAGCATTGCTCAGTGGTTTGACTATTGTTTGTCGCAGTAGTAAAGCGTGGCTCCCCATTGAATCGCCGTGGGGCGATGGGTCGGCTGACAAGTGGGAAGAATGGAGGACGTCGAGGCCGGTACATCCAAGTCACCTGGCCCCACGGGAAGCAGTAAAAGGTTCTGGGTGTCGTTCACAACGATCTCAGCTTCATTCAGCTGTTGTGCTATGATTGCGAGGTTTTCCTCCAAGCCCAAACAGCTAACATTCTGCAAAGCGGTATTGACTTGATGCAGTTTCAGTTGTATTAAATTGACGTCGTCCATCAGTTGTGCACGGCCGATTTGTGCGCTTCGCCTGTCTAGTTCGTAGGTTTCGTTGTCGGGGACTTGTGGCAGGACGTTCTCGGACGGCAGGAAGCCACTGGAAATGTCGGCGTCGTCGTCACTTGAGCCTGGCGCAGAACATTTGGTGGTGGTATTGCCTCTGCCAGGATCGACTCCACGGGCCTCATTTGGAGGCAGAGTATTCATGTTTCTTTTCGAGACTTTGGTGATAGGTGAGAGAACTGTAGTAAAGGTCGAGATGATGGTGATGGGTGTGTTCGTGATCACGGCTGCATATGTGGTCGTGGGCGCTTCTACTGTAAGAGTTGAGGCTTTGGTAACGACTGCGGCTGTGGTGATTGGCCCGACCGTTACAATGGGCACGTATGTGGTCATGGTTGCGATTGTGACAATGTTCTCGACAGTGGTAACAGGTGTGACTATGAGAATTTGCGTGACTGTTGTAATCGGAGTTTCTGTGATGACGGCTGAGAATGTGAATAGGGATGTGATAATCGTCAAGACTGTGGTAACGGGTGGGGGTGCAGGAGCTGCTGGTGGGGGTTCAGGTTTAGCGGTCGTAGGGCCTTCAGGTTTAGCGATCGTAGTGCCTTCAGGTTTAGCGGTCGTAGGGACTTCAGGATGGCGACTGAAAGGGTTGTCGTGGGAATTTTTGGGCATAGGTTTGGACACAGCAACACTGGCTATGAATGCCAGGTATAAGACGATGGAAATCCGCATCTTGAATGAAACAGGATCTGTTGCGGGATAGTGGCGAGCGCGTCGTATGCAAATTGCACGCGAACGGCAGGTGCTTGGGTTTGCTTGCTCTCCCCAAAGAAGAATCCGAACTCAGCCGTATGAGTGAGGAAGTGCTGATTTATATACCTTGGCTTGTGACCAAGCCTTCATCATTCACGCAGATCGTGTGGACTGCGAAGGCTTGACTTCGAAGGTGATGCCTCCTTTTTGACCGTGCCAAACTTTGGTTGTATGGATCGGCGCAGTCTGACTGGCTTCAACAGAGAGCATCGTGCCACCACTGCATATCTTTTTGTAATTTGGAAAAGCCTATGAGTCTCAGAGACTGCAAAAGGGTACTGGGAGCTGGATGTACCAGATCGTACGTCCTTACCACGGCAATGCAAAGTTGAGCGGTTTCTCCGCAGCCTCGATTTGGTTCTGGGGGTGCAATGATGCACCGTTTTAGGGAGCAGAATTGTCGTCCCGTCCATGCTTCAAGCATGTGCTGCATTTCAAAGGTCTCCGGCTTAGTCCTTCATCTTTCTGTCTTTGACCGTAAATCTGTGATCGTCGCCATATCTGCTGTACCCCGTGTGGAGCCGATTCAAGTCCTAGGCCTATGACTCTTTCGGCTGTCGTCCAGAAGTCTGACCTCGCTTTCCAAAGACTTGATTTCACGCTTTTTCTGATCCATGACCTCTTCAGTCTCCAAGGTCAACCACGCCCAGTAAGCAATTTGATAGGTCAGGAAGGCCAGAGTGATGGCTTTGAAAAAGGCTCGTCCATGCGTCTTGTAGAAATTGATCGGTTTCTCCGGCTGTGTGTCGACATGATATCGTGGTTCGATCTGTCTGAGTGGACGAGTCGTGGTTAGCGTTCGGCTCGACCAGACACGAGCAGTGATCTGCCTGGTGGATGGCAGAAGCTGGGATCGAGTTAGAAGACCCATGGTAGAGCAACTTCTAAGCTTGAGCAAGGGAGAAGGCATGCTGTGGACTTGGAAGGGCGACCGCAGCACATTTAGTACTAGTATTAAACAACAACCTGTATTGCTTGAGGTCTGTTCTCTCCGAGAAAGTCGAAACCGAATAAGTTTGTTTGGTTTGCAGAGTTTGGCTATTTTGTATAAATCACGTGACGGGTGTTCTGTGATGTTTTCGCGTTGTTACACGTCGTTACCTAGGTACTTGTTCTGTGTCATGTTTTTCTGTCGCATCTTCGAAATGCTCGGATAATGCATCAACGGCCCAAACATGTTGCCACACCGCCGCTACTCAGCGCATCCTATGCCTAGTGTGTATTCAATGGTATCTACAAACTGCTCACAACGTCTCCCACGGTCCGACTCTCTGCAATGGCCCAGCAAGACTTACTCGCCTGCGAAGCTACCTCTTGCCCCAGCGCCTGCCCAACCTGATCAATGAACTTTTGCTCCAACTGTTCATCCGTCATAGGTGCCTCCAAGCTCCCAATGGCATGCTCGATATGCTTGGACAATTTTTGACCATCTGCAAATTCAGCCACAATCTCAGCCTCGTCCGCTCCCAACTTTTCATCAGCGACTGCATCGATCTTGTCCCTGATCGATGTAACTTGCTGACTCATCACGACTTCATCTTCATATTGCGCTGGCCCAGCTTTGCCAAAGACCAGCCCGACAGCTC